CTACTCCTCCTACTCCTACTGCTACTGCTACTGCTGCTACTGCTACTGCTACTACTACTACTACTACTACTCCTGCTGCTGCTGCTGCTGCTACTGCTACTGCTACTGCTACGACTACTACTTCCACCTCCACTACCGTCTCCAATGCACTACAAAGGCATTTGTTGCACTAGGGCGCTCAACCCCAGTTGAGTCTAAAGATGTCGAATCTGACGCCTCCAATTTAGTTATACCTATATAGGGTTGAACTACCAAAGGTGAGGAGTGGGAGGAATGATACTAGCTCATCGACGACCCAAGCCCCGCTTGCGTCCAGGAAGATGTGGTGGCGTCCCGTCGCAGCATGGTCAACATCATACCCGGTGAAGCTTATCCAGGCAACTTCTCCGGCCCCACGGCTGGTTTGGTGCTTGAGGACTGGATTTCAGAGGTACGGAATTTAGTTTCAGGGCGCCCGGTAGTGAAATGAGTGCTAATTTAGGCCGATAAAGACAGAAGCAACTCGCCAACCCCTGCACCTCGACATGACGAGGGCAGTGCAAGTAAGGGGTGTGAGATAAAAGTGCTACATGCGCGACATTACCAGGTTTCGTGGTCCTGTTCGCCACCGCAGAGACCGCTGGCCGGAACTACATTCAGGAAGTTTGGCAGGCCGGAGCGCGAGTCGGAAAATCTGTTTGCGACGTTCGCAGTCTGAGAGTCAGTCCAATGTTTCTTCAGCCTGAGATTATTGCAGCTGCTGGCCCTCGCCCTGGTCGTCCAAGCACCATAACCGAAGGCTTAAGGCGGCTTAAAATCAATGCACAAAGAACTCAAAGCCTGATCCCTAAATCCTAGAGACCCGTTCACATGAGCAACTGTTGCCTTCCTTCATCACCTTCATCGCGCAGCTGAAACCTAAAGAGCCTGAACCCCCACCTTCGAACCTTAAACCCAGATCTTAAACCCAGAACACCGAGCCACAGACCGTGAACCCCATGCCTGCACAGCAAAGCCTCACACTTTGGTCCCGAAACCCTGCGAGCAGTGTCGGCTTTTCCGGTAGGCCATGCGTTTCGTCGGCCTGGTGCCACGAAGGCCCGGAGATCTTGCAGCAGATGCAAGAACGTCCTTCCAAGATCTGGCAACCCAAATCAGACACATCTAAAACAGCCCTACGGTGTTTCGGGTGTAGGGTTTAGGTACTCGTATGTGTTTGCGTTCACATGGCGGGAGGGGAGGAGGGCGGGGTGCGTAGAGGGGTGGGAGATGCCCATGAATTCTGACACATGTCAACCCCCAGCTATAGATAAAGCTTTGTGAAGCTGATAGGCTTCAACCCATGAAGGTACAGAGCTCGGGAGTGAAAATTGGAGGCTTCCTCGTAAGAGGTCTATGTAGGCTTCCTGATCAGAGGCAGCTGGAGGTCCTCTCCAGCAATTGAGCATCCGGCCCGCAGTAGATGTGAACATGACTTGGAGGTTCTACTTTTCCACTTTTGCCAACGGCGCAGCTTGGAGCTTGAGAATGGGCAGCTGCGAGAGTCGAGGCCATGTAAACTAAAGCCTGAACCTTGACCCCATGCGTAATCTAAACCCTAACAAAGGGTTTCATAAGTGTTTTTTACCTTTACCTACCGAAAACCCCACGGAGCCCTACTGCCATGTTTCTCAGTTTCTTCTTCGTAAACTAGGACTCATGAGGACTCATGGACGTGGGACAGATGACCCAGCAGTGAGGAAGGGGAGGGGGAGGAGGAAATATAGAACCGTGGGGCAGCGTAGGCCTTGATAAGTTCTAAAAGACTGCTTACTTGCACATGTTGGCACGAGTATACATGTCTAATGGCTGCAAAAAGAGGGGGCGAGAGTTTGTTTGTTTGTGTGTGTGTCTCTTTGTGTTAGCTGGTGTTGTATGTGTTGCTGTATCATGAGTCCTGCTTGCATGTCTGCATAAGCATACATGCTTATTTGTGCTAACCACTTGTGTATGTGTGTGTGTATATATATATGTGTGTGTATACATGTATATATATAGATATGTATGTATGCATGTATATATATATATGTGCGCACATGCACGCATGTTCAGTATTCTCGCTCGTATAGTGCAGCATGCATGCGCATATATATATATATAAGTATGTATGCACGCATACAGAAACCTCAAAAATAGACAGGTAGATTCATACATTTGCCCAGGGGGCTGCCAGGTTCGAGCAGCTGTAGAAGCCTTTTCGCCATTGCTGCTCAGGTAATTGCCTATAGCCTCTTCTTCCCGGGGGGTGTCCCGGAGACACAGGTGGAATGCTTGAAGCGTGCGCTTCTGTATTCGACGCTGCTAAAGGCCAGGTCGGTTGTGAGTGGTTTCTGAAGCTTACCCACTATCATCCTAAGAACCACAGCAACATTCAAAACCTATTTGCAAGAATCGTGATCGCTCAAAGCCTAATGACTACTTTGAATGTTTGGGGCTCCAGTCGGTACGGCTTCGGGTGCTCGCCTTTTCGTTATGAACAGCCGACCGAATCGTCTTGTGGAATGCTCTTATGTCGACCTCGGACTCTGCTGAGCTACAGGACGACATGTCCCTGAACCATGTGTAGTCAAAGCCCAAGACCGCTTGATTTTGTTTCGAGCCTGGCCGAGCTGAATTTTAGTCTTGTTTCCAAGAGTATAATCTTCCGACGATCGCTAGTAATTGACCCTCTGCCTCGTGTCATTGCCAACATCAGCAGCTCCTCTGAAGTTCTAAGACTTCCAGACCTCTTACTTGCCCAACCCTGAACGATGCCCAGACTCTGTAGCCGCATCGCACTGAACCTTAAAGCAACCCACCCTAAACCCTAACCCCTAAACCCGCTAAGCCCTAAACCCAAACCCATAGAACCCCCAAACCCCTAAACCCTAAACCCTATAAACCCTATAAACCCTATATACCCTATAAACCCTATAAACCCTATAAACCCTAATAAGCCCTAAACCCCTTAAACCCCCGCCCTTCCACCTAAACCCCGGCAGCAGGCCACGCCTGGGAACTCTGAGCTGGTTTACCGCAGCGTGATGCTACTGGGAATTAGTTCTTATATAGTAGGAGCCTAAACAAATACCTATACTTTCTTGGGGGGGGGGATTCCTTATCATACGTAAAGTGTGATATTCCCCAAAACCCTATTCTAAACATGGAGGCCCCTATATTCATCCTTTTCTGCTGTTTCTAGTTTAGTTTTGGTGTTCTTCGTTGAGGTGTTGAGCCGTTGGGAGGTCCTGCAACGGAAGAAATAGAAATGCAGCCCCTGGATGTTGCATGAAGCCGTCGTGAACAGACTTTGACGAGCATGCTGCGTCGATGGACTTTTTTAGATGGTGTCTTCGCCCAAGCAAACCGTGGCCCAGCCTATTCATTATTCTAGATGCAATGCTGAGCATATCCTGATTGGGGAGCACAACCCAGCTTCCCAAGCCTCGCAACGAATCCCAAGACTTTGTTTGTACAGCGGGAGATTGGCCTCAGAGTTCAAATGCTGCAGTTCGAGGCAGTCCCAGATCTCTCACGAGTGCGGTCTGTACGTCCTGGCCGCAGCTGGTGACTTAGCATGCTGCGATGGCTGGCCATCTGAGGCATGCCTGCAATGCCTCAATTCTCTTTGCCGTTTTGCCTGGCTTTCTGATGCTGCCCAAGGTCAAGTTTGTCTACACATTCTTCCCCAAGGAGCAGTATGCGCCGGAGTACATCTCAGTGCATAAGGTACTGGAGCACGACGCCGCCAGCCAGAGGAAACTCGAGACCTTGTACAAGCTCTGTATCAAGGAGCAGCCCGGGCTCACATTGCGACGGATACCCCGAGGCCCCACTTCTTGAAGTCTCCAGGCTCTAGGATCCTGATCTCAAAAGCTCCTCTCTGCCCAGAACGTGACCAGTAGCCGTTTAGCCTCCTGTCCCCTGCATCGCAGGACCTCCTGTCTACGGAAAGGATCTACAGCCTGATCCACCGCCACCCAAATCTGGCAAGGAGCCCACGGGCATCATATGGGGGTTTCCGAAAATAGGGGACCCTAATATAGTACGCTAAATGGTAGTATCCCTTTTTTAAGGACCCCCCCCAAAAAGGTATCCCTTGTTTCCGGAAAGTCCCATATGGATAAGCTTTAAAAGTCTCAGCCTTGCATTGCTCAAAGTGTGCACAATGATTCCAAATGATTGATCCCCAAGCGAAGACAAAGACTTTGTTGCTTGGTCGAGGGCACTTCTGCATTCTGTAGAAGCGACTGGGTGCACTAAAAGTATACGTATTATACTGAGTATGTTCTACCTGAAAGCCCTCTTCGAAAGAATTTAGTTATTGAGATGCCTATGATTATGATGACGAGTATGATTGTTGTTGTTGATGATGATGATGATGACTGCTAGTATTATTCTTATGACATGAATAAAATATTATATCTGCTGATTGTCATTATGATTCTCACGATGGTTCGTTTTCTTACGATGATGACTATTAACAGTGTTCTTAGAGTCATTAGCATTACTAGCAAGCTTACTGTAGTAGTAGTAGTAGTAGCAGCAGTAGCAGCAGCAGCATTATGGCCCTATGTTGCCGGACGTGCGCAGGCTTTTCTTCGAGGACTTCGCGCTGATCGCCCGAGGAGAGCGGGAGCCGCACTTCAACGAAGAGTTAAGTTCGGTGTCTCGGAGGAAAATCCAGATGGGTAGTTCTCTAAATTAGGGTCCCTTTTAGGGTCCTTTTTTTAAAAGGGTGCCATACTATATTGGGGACCTAAAAAGGGACCCTACTTTAGAGAACTACTCAGATTGTCAGATCACGAGTTCCTCGACGGTAGGCTTCGCAGTTTGCCTACATGTAACCACTCAGGTTTAGCACAATGGGTGAAGTAGATAGGCCGGTTGAGAGTTTTGTGACAGTAGACTTCGGAGTTTGTCGAGATGTACTAGCTTTAGCACGTATCCACGTGCTTTCAAGCCTCTGGAAGAACTTGAAGCCTCGCTCTCATCTCAAGATTCCTCTTTTGTGTACCTGTGCACCTGTGCCACTCGGCTTGTGCACATGGTGCACGCTTGCGCGCCAATCTCGGTCTCGCGACCTGCCAATGCAAGATTGAACAATGCTTTGACCTTATGATTATCACTGTCTTGACTCCCACTATTGCTATTGATAAACATTACTATTGCTAGCATAATAACTATCAATAATTGCCATTGCTGCTACTATCATTAGTATTATTGTTAGTACTAGTATATTTTGCTCTTACTTTTAGTATTGTGAGTTTTTGAATTCCAACGTTTTTGGTGTGATGTTCTTTTTGTAGGACCCTCGGCAGGAGATTCACGTTTAAGCCCAGTGTAAAACTCTCATGATGTCTCTTGCTTCTACGTTCTGTCCTGCAGGTGATCGATGAGGCCTGCACGGATCCCCAAGATCGGCAAATTCTGAAGATGTTCCTCACCTTCAACCACAGCATCCTCCTGCTTCTTGGTCTTGGTAGAGTGGCCAGGGGGGTCCAAACCTAAACCCTAGACCCCAAACCTTACAACTTATCGTGTTGGGCACCTACTTGGAGGTTCATGGGTAGTTATAAGTGGAGTTATAAGTCCCCTAATATGGGTTATAACTATAGTTACCCTACTTATAACCCTACTTATAACTACCCATAAACCTCCAAGTAATGAGTGAAGACACGTGGAGAGCTTAAGGCGTGATCTACATGGGTGGCCTGAAAGTCTTGGTGAGGCGTCCCGAACTTTTACCCTTGTCTGGTTTTGGAGAAGTATTGCATTGTCATATACTAATGAGTTATGTCTTCATTTACTTGTGTGTTTACACTTGAGAAGTACCAGTACCGAAATTCCTGACTAGTAACTAGTACGTACCAATCCGCCAAAGCCAAATGCCGCCCGAATCCACAAACCAAAGCTCAGGCCGGCTCTTCCTGAGCCCTTAAACATCTAAAGCCTTGGGGTTTAGGGTTTAGGGTCCCTAGACCTTGACCCCTAGACCCCAAACCCTTAACCCCCAAACCCCTAAACCCTGAACTAAGACTCACCAGAAAGCCGAGGACCAATTTCTTCAAGGCTCAGATCCCAGGCGCTTTGTCCTTCCGCCACTGGGTTCTTGTCAGGCGATGAAAGTTTAAGTTCTCATGAGACGGATCTGTAGTAAACTATTCGTTTTTGAGCTATATACCATAACAGGGGTTTCAGTTATCATCATGGCGACCTGTAGTAAATGCTATGGCGTCCTTACTATGGAGATAAGTTTCTTAACAAGAGCCCAGGTCTGGACCCGGCTGTGGCGTTGAAAGACAGACCGGCCTCTTTGCATCTCTGCTCTTCCTAGGGTTTAGAGTTTAGAGTTTAGGGTTTAGTGTTGCTTTTTGGTTCTCCCTGCTGTGGGGTGCACATTGTCTGTGTGGCGGGTTCTGTTCTTGAAGCTGGACAACGCTGGTGCAAAAGAGCAGGGCTGCTTCGCTAGAGAACCGAGGTATCCAGAAGTTCCCTACGGCCCGTGCCTCAGGGGGGGGGTTGAAGATATGTTGTTTCTGCTCCTTTGTCGCATTTCTGAGGGCAATGCCGCGAGTGGAGCTTTATCTGTACTCGTCAGGATACGCAGAATACAGACAGTTGCTTCGTATTTCAAGACTTAGGAAGATCAGAAACCCATTATCTTTCAATCTCGCAGGCATCTACCTCGTGTGCGGCCGTGACTTCATGGGCTTCCACACACGTTTCCGCGACGTGGCCCGGGGCGGAATCAGGCTCGTGCTGTCCCGTGACAAGACTACCTACGATCGCAACTTTGCCACACTTTTCGATGACGCCCTCTTGCAAATCAGTTTTGGGTATTGAGGCCCTGTGTGGGCAAGGCCTGCTTTTTCGGGCTTTGCCGACAGAGCGAGGGCTCAAGGCATCCAAGGCGAATGTCTGCATCTTCTTGCTTCTGCATTGTGCTATGACAGTCAGGAGTGCTACAACTTGGCATTCACCCAACAGTACAAGAACAAGGACCGGCCTGCTCCCTGACGGTCAAGCTTAGGGAAGTTGTCGACAAGTCGGCATGTGCACTGTTTCTTCGGTTCTTCGGTCTAGCCTTGGCTGACACGAGACCTTACTGCATGATTCTTCAGATGGCAAAGTAGGTGGCCGGCAATGAAAACAAGGGCACTTTCGCCCCCTTGAACTACATTAGCGGCCTGTTGTGTCCTAGTTCATTCCGATCCACTGAAGTTGTGTACTTCAGGTGTTGACTGTCTGCTTCTGGCCGGCACATCATCATGCACTGGGGATGTATTCCATGATGTTTTATGCATGTGCACAGGTTGGTGTCTGACGATCCTAAAGTTTCATACTTCTGGCGTCGGTGTCCAGGCGGCTTTCGGGTTAGTGGATACTTACCGATGCACTGGCTGCCTGCCTCTCGCAGACTCTCGCAGCCAGGACATTCCGGAAGGCCCTCTGCACCAGTGCTTCAATGGAAGCTCCAAGCCATGCTGAGCGCAGAACATTCGCTTCAAGATGTGCCAAGTCGAACAGGGTCATAGGTCGAATTACGAGTATGTGCCGTGAACGATATGGGTGAAATTCCGGAGTAGTCCAAGCTCGCAGTGCTTGACTATTGCGCATTCCAAAAACCTGGAATTCAGTTGTGAGTGCGTGTCGTGACGATGCACGAGCTCAAACACGCCGATTTGGGTGCAAGAGCCCATGGAATCGCAGAGAATCATAGAAAGCTGCAAGTAAGTCAGACCCCATCCCAGCCTTCTGCGAGGTGGCTCCAAAGGTGTCATCCTGCCAGACAGATCATGGCCCAACGGACAGACCCTTGGTTTGAGTACCCGTCAAAACCCGGAAAGTCAGCAGCCCTGCAAAACAGCCCGCATTCCATCGCATTTCTGCTCTTATTCAATCCGAAGCAGAAAACTTAAGCCCACGCCCAGATTCTTCAAAAGGTTCGGATACTTGCCCCAATGCCCTCCCCTCAAACTTTTTTCTGCAGTTCCTATGCGGTTACTTCTAAGCTCGGCTCCTGCCCCCGTTCTAGCTCTTAAAGACGGCCACTGAAGTAAGGAGTGGCAATGTGGTGGCCGGCTCTCTTCAGGGACCCCTGCACATGCAGCCGTGGACTCAGATCCTCGGGCGGGGTCCAAGGCTCGTGGCCTTTTGGGCCTCACGAATCGGGGGTTTGGCTGGCCGTACTGTACTATATTACACTACACCATGTCATATCATATCACATTGTATTATACCATATGGTACTATATCATCTTATATCCTATCATACTTTATTATATGCATATGTCTATGTATGTATGTATGTATGTGTGTATAGATAAACAAACAAGAATACATACATATATATATATATATATATGTACATATGTGTATGTATGTGTATATATAATAATAATAATAATTATAATAATAATAATAACAATAAATGTGCGTATCAAAATTTCATTATAGTGTAATCAGAGCGGGCTTAGAATAAAGCAACAGTCACACATCGCCGAGGCCCTGTACAAAATCTTGGAGTATAAGGTGCTTCATGTAAGCCCAGATACCCAGAGCTCATGCCACTGCGATGCAGGTCATGCTTCACCAGATACTTGAATGCCCTGCTGGATTGCATGATGCCAGAAGAGAGCGGCATTTTTGCAGGACTGCTGTTTTGGGGGTTCCTTATTATCATTATAGTTTAATGGGCCCCAAAACTTCTTTCTAATTATTAAGGCCCCTACATTACCCGGGGAATGAGGTCTTACTGGTGTATTGCAGCCTCGGGGCCTTCGGGAATGACTTGAAGAATGCAGCTTACGCTGGGACAAGGGACGGCGTGTTTTTGTAGACTCAACGATTGCCACTTGGTTACTTCTGTAGTCCCCCCTTGGTCAGGACACCTCAGAGGTCGCCGGGAGCTTCTCTTCTTTGGGCCGGACGAGAGCCTCAGCTTCCCATTTGGCGCGGGAGTGTCAGCGCTAAAAAAGCTGTCAGTCAGCCCACATCACATGCACATGATCTGTTGAACCACATTCTAGGCAGGGGGTATGTCGAGAGGCCATGGAACCCTGAACCGATTGTTGCGTTTCTTTGCATGCGACATCGACCTGATTGCTGTAGCTTGGTCCATCGTCAGGCTCCCTGTCGTTGTTGATGGAATTGTGCGCTCTGTGCAGCTGAGTATGCCCGCATAGGCTCGGCGGAATGCGTCCTGACCGTAAGCTTGATGTTGTCACCACCCGATCCTTTCAAGGAACACTGCGGGCTTTATGGACATGGGTGCGAACGTGGCGAAGGCATCACGATGCAAAGTAAGCAGGGAGTACAGACCTGCTCTCGGCTTCGTCTCATTCTCCAGTGAGGCTGCCAAGAGAAAGAAGTCCATGCTCGGCAACCATACTATCATGAGCAATCGTAAACCCTAAACCAACTGCCTCAAGGTTTGGCTTTGAGGCCAGATATCGGAGCCTTGATAATTTGGCGTATGAAAAGAAAGTTTTACTATCCGTACACTCTGTACTATAACGGAATTCTCTTACCTATTCTTTCGACCCCCTGTAGCTGTATCCCTAAACCCTAAACCCTATATCATCTTGCGGCCCAGGCGCGCGGATACCCCTTCTGGAAGGCTTTGACCACGGGGAAGCTTCTCGCCCGGCAAGAGGGTCTGAGCTCGATGGGTTTTGGACCCCACAGGGGTTCCTAGAACCCTAGAGCCCTACACCCTAAACCCCCTATATGAATGATTAGAATAGGGTTTGTTCGGGGGGGTTCGTCATACAAATGGTTAAAAGAGGGAACGCTGAGGAGTAGTTGCTAATGGTTCTGGCTTCTATAGTACAAGTGAATATGCAGCATTTCTCATGAGGAGTGTGGCATTGGGCGGCGTGCCCCACGATACCTATGGTATGACGACATCCAGCGTTTGGGGCTCAGTTGGCTGCAGCACCAGTGCTCCGCCCTAGTGTGAACCTTTACTAGGTGCCCCAGTAGTACCCTTTTGCCCTGTTTAGCTTGGGGTCCCCGTATTAAAACCAAACAATAAGCAAAAGGGTACCCTTATAACTAAGGGGTTACTGGGGGACCGAGTTTGTATCAGATTAGATTCTGCGGCCAGGGGCCCGGATCTACATCAGCACCATGCTTTTTAGAGCAGTAGCATGTTGTCATGGCCCGTAGCACTTTCAAGCAGGCTCCCCTTCTAGATAAACGGAGGGTGCCCCAAAGGGTTACTAAAGCTACACTGAAGTCCTGTATAGTCATACTATAAGAAGCTACCCTTAACCCTAGACTTGAGTCCGAATATCTTAAAGCCCGAAACCTCAAAAAGCCCTGAAACCTTGAAGCCCTAAAAACCCCAACACTCTAAAAACCTAAAGCCCCACCCTCCGGTTTAGCCGACTTTCAAGAGTCCAAAAATACTACCATCATGGACTCAGGCCCCCGGAAGCCATGATCAGGATGAACTTTTGGGACCCAATTCCATAGTGGTAGCAAAAAATAGGGGCCTTAAAAATCAGAATAGGGTTTGGGGTATATTATACTAGAAACACAAAAAAGGAACCCCCCAAGATCCTATTCTAATTATTAAGGCCCCTACAGAATAAGGAACCCCCAAAAACGCTGTTCTAATTATTAAGGCCCCTACAGAATAAGGAACCCCCCAAGATCCTATTCTAATTATTAAGGCCCCTACAGAATAAGTAACCCCCAAAAACCCTATTCTAATTATTAAGGCCCCTACAGAATAAGGAACCCCCCAAGATCCTATTCTAATTATGAAGGCCTCTACAGAATAAGGAACCCCCAAAAAC